TGCTCTTCCTGCCCTTTTATCCTGGAGAGGTAATGGGGGAGCTTTGTACAGGTCTCAGAATATTCTTTGAGTCCTTTCTACATGGTCCAAGATTACTGTAATTGTTTTGTTGATTCAGAGCGGCAGTTGTGTTGGTTTTTTTTTAAGTTGCTACCCTAGAAAACGTCTCCTCTCTTCAAGTTTTTTAACCCAAGCTGAGAGTTTCTGTTTCTCTGAAGAAAAATAAAATCAATGATTAATAACATACCAACTATGTTAAGAAAGGCTTGTGCCATTGTATTGCTTCTATTAAATTTTCAGGCTTCTCAATTAGCTTTGATTTTTCTTAACTGATTAAATTAGGAGAAAGTAGTGTTTAGTTTTTAATTACTGCCAATTTTGTCTCCTTCTAATACAGCCTTGAAGCATTTACATTGTAGTTCAGTGTTCTTGGCATTGTCTAAACAAAAGATCCCTCTGAGAATTAATAAGGAGCTGCAAGTCTTCCCAGAAGAAAAATATAAGTACACACCAAAGTGTACATGTAATTTCGTGATTTACAGATCCCTTGCAATACCAGGTTGACAATTCCTGCCCTCCCATCAATCACTGATGACACTTTCCACTGAACAGTCCATAGACTTTCAATTGTTCCCGCCAGTAAGTCTCTCCTCTTTGCTGCCTCTCCACGGTAAGAACTGATCAGAAACAGCAACCTTGGACCCATGGTTGCATAACTTGTTAGTAACAATTTGTTAAACTGTATACAACAAGCAATGCTTTTGTTGATGGTGGGGATAATGCCTTTTGTTTGGGACACTTTAAATAAATATTTCATGGATAATTTCCCATTCTAACCAACATAATTACAACTGAAGTCACTGGCAATCAAATGTGCATGGACACATTTTAAAAAAAAAATCAGTAAATTTGGAATAAATCATTATCTCAAAGCACTGAGTTAAAAAAACATCTATGGCATTTAAGAAAGGAGAAACAAGCTGGGTGTGGCAGCACATACCTTAAGTCCCAGCACTCAGGGAGGCAGAGGCAGGAGGATCTCTGTGAGTTCAAGGTCAGCCTGGTCTACAAAGCCAGTTCCAGGAAAACCAGGGCAACACAGAGAAACCCTGTCTCGAAAAACCAAAAAGAAAAGGAGAAACTTGGGAATTGGAATAGAATTCATGGCAAAAATTATCTATTTTTTGCCATGAAATTAGGAATGAAAAAAATAAATAAAATCATAACTTGAAGGAATAAAAATCTCCAGACTATTAAATAACATGTGCCTAAATCACAGCGTTTTAAAAAAAAAATAAAATTTTGAATGTTAAAAAAAATAGAGAAATCACATAGAGAAGAATTCTAACAGGAAGTTACTAATTAAAATAATGCTATAAAGGAGGACAGGAAGATGGCTCAGCAGGTAAAGGTACTTGCCACTAAGCCTGACAACTTGAGTTGGATCCCCAGAATGTACACCCCTGTAAGGTGTCCTCTGACCTCCACACACACGTTATTGCAAACATCTCTCCTCTCTCTCTCTCTCTCTCTCTCTCTCTCTCTCTCTCTCTCTCTCTCTCTCTCTCACACACACACACACACACACACACACACACACACACACACACACACACACACCAAGGATTTAAGCCAGAGGGATGTGGCATTCAGTCAGGCAGGCCATGGTGACGAATCGAATGCAGGAGTGGAGTAAAGTGCAAGGCTCAGGGTGACAAGGATACTTCCATTCCCAGTAAATCAGTACATGAAATCACCCACGGGAAGATGTCAAGGACAGAGCTGGCAAGGTAAGGTTTTTGAAAGGTATAGGTAGCGAGGTATCCTGGCCCCGATCAAGATGAGGAAGCGTGGATAGCCAAGGAGACAGACGCATCAGCCAGGGACGGATGCTCTGGGAGGACGGGGAGATGGCCAGTGTAAAGATGCTGTTGGCAGAGTGACAGAGAATGTTACTGTGAGGCGTGCGTAACAGGAAGAGTATGTTCCAAATAGGAGAGCATGGGGTCTAAGCTCCTGGAAATGTTAACATAGCCAGGGTGGCAGGCACAGCCTGGGAGAGTGAGCAACGAAGGATTCTAAACCCAAGGCCCAGATTACCCCCACCCTAGGCAAAGATAAGCATGTGAACAACGACACCGCTCAACTTCACCTGTGACACAGGTCACACATCTCTCTTAGGTTCCCATCTCTCCCTGTGATTGAGCTGTGTCTCAACAGCTGTCACTTAGATTCCTAAGAGTGTGCTGACCAGCTTCCCCGTAGGGGAACGACAGCACTAAGGGTGAAGAAGGCATTCAAAACTTCCCAGAAGAACTATTAGACTTCCTACCTGAACTTACAGATGTGACATTAGGAACGTGATTTGGCATAGCAGCTTAATTTTGAAATTTGCAAAGCTCTCTCACATAAACCTTCTGAGACAGTCCTAACTACTATTCTCATGAAGCTCTGGAATTCTTTTTTTTTTTTTTAAAGACATTATTTTTTTTTTTAAGCTATTCTGTAGCTCTAGCTGCCCTGGAACTGACTGTGGAGACCAGCCCTCAAGCTCACAGATATCGACCTGCCTCTGCCTCCTGAGTGCTGGGATTAAAGGTGTGCACCACCATGCCTGGCTAGAATTCTTACATTATAAATAAGAAAAAGATTCTACAGTTCTGGCTTTGGATTGTTAATGTAAATTTTTTTCTCCTGATGAGAGATTCTATTTGGTATGGTTCACTTAATTAACATTTGAGTTTTGAAAAGTCAATCCTTCAGAAAGCTACAGATTAGCCATTAATTAAAGCTAAAAAAATGTTATTCCAGGCATCTATAGCTGATTCCTGATCATTGGAATGAACCAACGGGACTGTCAGAACTTTATTAAACTTTCATAATTATGTAAGGAAGTTTTGGAAATGAAAGAAAATTTAAACAAGTCTCTATACACACTCACTGTTAGGTATAGAATATGGTAGAAAAAAAAAAACAATTCAATCCAGTTACTCTTCTACAACCACTATAAGTAGACTCTTGAGTTAGATGACTTCATTTTCCTAATAATGATTTATTTCTCTTTGGTACCTCCAGACAGTATTTAGGTCCCATGGTCACTTGTGCATGGTTCATGCCAGCTACATGATAGCATAATTAGGAAATAGGAGCTTGGGAGACAGCATAGTGGGAAAGATCATTTCCTATACTAATGTAAGGACCGGAGTTTGGATCCATAGTACCCATGTAAAAGTAGGGGATGGGGAGGCCACACAGACTGGCATCCCCTGACCTAGAGGACAGAGAAGTGGATCCAGAAACTTGGCGTACCCAGCCTAGCCAAATGGTAAGCTCCAGGTTCAGTGAGAGACTCTGTCTCAAGGAAATGAGGTGGACAGCGATAGAGCCAGACACTCAATGTCTTTCTCTAGCCCCCTCCCCACACACATATGCATGAAGAGAAGAGAGAGAGAGAGAGAGAGAGAGAGAGAGAGAGAGAGAGAGAGAGAGAGAGAGAAACAGAGAGACAGAGACAGAGATAGAAAGGTGGAATTAGAGTAGAATTCATGAGCTTTATGATGGAGTCAGGGAAGAAGTAAAAGCAGGAAAGAGTGGGTTCCACATGAGTTCATTCATGTTTCTCTTTACCTTGGTTGCTTTTCAACCCTTTCATCTAAATGGCACAGGAAGGAGGGAAGAGAGAAAGAGAGAGAAAGCAAACTAGGAAACCCCCAGATCCTCCCAAGGAAAACATGAGGTTCAGGCATTGACTAATGACCCTTCCAGTCATTGAAAGTTCACTTTAAAGGTTATTTTTTACCTCCCTATGATCATAAAAATATCTACTTTTCTAAACTACAAACAGTAGCTTCTTGGTTCTTGTTTACTTAAATGAATATACAATACATTTTTAAGTCAGATAATATTGCATGATTTAATTCCTAAGTGAGTTGGGTGTGATAAGTTTTTTGTTATGTAATTATTAACTAAATGTCATTGTATAACCATATTGTATGACACCACATTGATAGCAATGGCAAAAATCTGCAAATGTATAAAGCATACAATATATTCTACAGGAAATGCTCTGCCAAACTACATTTATATCTAAGTTCAACCAAAAACCCAAAGGCAATCACTGAGCAGGTGTGTGTGTAAGCCACTGTACTGTAGAACAGAAACACTTTATCCAACATAAAGAACAAAACACTAAGCATTATAAGTCTGTGATTATCTTAGGAGCATATATTGTGGTATACTGTTTCTCAAACTGAAACATTCAAGAGGTCCATTTAGAAATTGGAAGAAAAATATAAAGGTTGGTTTCCATGTAGTAAACTTAATACTGTAAATGTCAATTTTTTTATATACTCAGTTTAAAAGGAAAAAGTCTACATGACAAAAATCCATATATACATACAGAAAATGAGAAGGATCCCGTGTAAAACAAGCACTGCAGACTAATACTGAATGCCTGCCCACATTCTGTCAGAGCAGGTAATTCTATCACTGCTGATTCACGGGTCTCACTTGGTTATTAACTCTACAGAGATGACGTTCAACAATATGCAAAATTTTCCATCTTGACCAAACAAAACCTGGTTATGTGCCTGATGAGACCCTTCATCACCCCATAATAGCATCGACAAGCACATCTGAAGGCTGTGGAAAAATTATCCTATGAGGGAATCTGACAGAAACTCATGAACAACCTAAAAGGCTGTGCCCCTTCCTTAGATCACGGTTGCAATGACTTCACTCAGCTCATGTTGCGGCTGTCCTGAAGAAAGAAAGAGGTTAACATGCCCTTTGTGGTATAATCAGGAGGATCGATTTCAACTCCTAGGTGAACTCTCACAAATTTCTAAAGATCTAAATCACCTGATTAAATCGTGTGTGTGTGTGTGTGTGTGTGTGTGTGTGTGTGTGTGTGTGTGTGTGTGTGCAAAACAATCCCACTGGGCAGGTTTCCTGGTTTAAACATTTTAATTCCAAAACATAAACAGGTCTAGAATACTCACTTTTAGTTTCTTGTTTAGTTTACAGCAGTATCTGTACACCATTGCCAAGTTCAGAGGTCCAAAATCTGCATAGAAACTGAGATATATACATATATAAAATAGCATTTAGTACAAGCACAGTTTTCAGTAACATAGATGCTCACTTTTCACTTCATCTGATTTGTAATCACATTGCAATTATCTTCAGGAATAGGTTCATTCCCTAAGTAGTCTGGTCCGTGCCAATCCAGGTACCTCAGAGTTCCACCCTACTCGGACCCTGGAGTTCTTCTAGCCAATCTCTTAACAGAGCACTAGTTGGGCAATTTTGAGTCTTAAGTCCGTTTAACTCCTTCCTGTGCCATTTAGATGAAAGGGTTGAAAAGCAGCCAAGGGAAAGAGGAATGTGAATGAACTGGTGTGGAACCCACTCTTTCCTGCTTTTACTTCTTCCCTGACTCCATCGTAAAGCTCATGAATTCCTCTAATTCCACGTCTTCCACTCAAACACCCTCAACTCTCATGTATCTAACTGCAGTGGTCCTTTTTCCCTCTCCATCCTTCTTAAGCGTCCTGTATTATAAGACATATTGGCTCCCCTGCCCTCCCCTACACCTCCAGAATACAGTCATCAACCTGAACATAAATCTCTCTTACCCACTGTCATGAGTCTAATTGGTGACCTAATGGAAAAGAGTGCTCTTGTCTACCTCTGACCCAGGACTGGTCTTCACCTTCACCTTCCTACTGGACCCACCGTCTGCAGGCCTTCCAATACCTCAAACTCAGTGTGTCTACACACATCTTTCCTTCAAAATAGCCCTGAACTTTTCTGAATCACAGGAGCATGAAACCGCTCAAACATGGTACAGCAAAAACATTATTACATCAAATGAGCTACCACTCTCCTATACCCCTTCTTTCTGTCCCCAGTGACACATCAGAAGCCCAGCTCCCCTTCAGCTTAGTCATGTTCTGTTGGAATCCTCAGTCTCCTTCCCAATGATGGCGCATTTCATCATACAATTCAATCGCCCTTCTTTCATTTCCTATTACTCAAAAATGCTGAGTGGCTCCTCACTACTGAAGGATGTCTCCACCACCCAGGAACCAGAGCTTAACACGCCATGCTCCTAGCTTCCAGGCTGATCCCGTCTCCTAACAGGTCCCTCTCAGGATCTTCATTCCACATGACACATCCACCTCTTACCTCCAAACATTCACCATCCCTAATGCCACCCTCCACTCACAATAGTCCTCTTACAGAGAATACCCTCCCCTCTGGTCACTTTTCCTAGTTTCTTCAAGATGGCCTTCAAATGCAGCCTCCACAAAGCCTTTGCAGTCACATTAGGGGCACTACCTAAGCTTTGCTCAAAGTCCTCAAAACTTTCCATTTCAATGACTCTTTCAACAAAATATACATAACGTCGCATATTATGGAGAATTTCACATGAAGAATCTGTCTAATCAACTGCAACATGAGCTTCCCCATCAAGGAACCTATTTATACTTTACAGATTTGGAAGAACGTCCTAGATGCAATACAACTAAAAATGAGTTACCGTGCAGAAACGCTCATTAGTACTCTAAATTCAACTCAGTCTAGAGCACAAATGTATTAAATACCACCAAGTTTGCAGAAACCCATCTTTGAAATCCCCTCTTACTGAGAAAGACATTTAAGTCTTCTCTGCCTCCCAAATTATATACGTCACTCCAACTACAAGTCTGCCAATACCTACTGGCCTTAGGTAAGTAAAAATTACTGACTTTGGCCAGACGGTGATGGCGCACACCTTTAATCCCAGCACTCAGGAAACAGAGGTAGGTGGATCTTTGTGAGTTCGAGGCCAGCCTGGTCTACAAAGCGAGATCCAGGAAAGGTGCAAAGCTACACAGAGAAACCCTGTCTCGAAAAACAAAACAAAACAAAAAAAAATACTGACATTGTATGTGTTATCCATGTTAAACAAAGTAGGAATGTTGTGGAACATATAGAACTAAAATTGGCTGCCTTTACAACAGGGTTCATGAAAAAAATAATAACACAAAATGAACCAGAAAAAGAAACTTCTAATGATTTGAAATAAAAGTTCTTTATTTATTTCTAAAGTTCTCAAGGTGGTGTTAATTTAGTTCTAAAGTTCCCAGTGTGGTGCTAGGCTATAAATATAAACAAGAACCCACTGAAAAACATTAAAATGAGGGCTGGAGGTGTATCTCGAGGGCACAGCACACACTTAGCATGCACAAGGTTCCACCCCCAGCACCGGGGGGAAATGAGAAAGCATATACGTAGGGACCTAACTGCATTGTTTAGGGCAACACTTCTTTACAGCAGAGATTTTCTTGTTCTTGGGTTCATTGGAAGCATCACTTTTTAACAAACATACCTTGCAGTTTTGTTTTTGGTTTGGGTTCTGGTTTTTTGGAACATACATATTAACCCTGTATAATTCAAACTTAAATGTGGAGTGTTGGTCATTATCTCAACTTTTGAAATTCATGCTGAACAAGCTTCAGAAAAGCACAAACTGGGGCTAGAGAGGTGATGGCTTAGTGGTTAAGGGTACTGGCTGCTCTTTCAGAAGACCAGGGTTCAATTCCCAGCACCCACTTGGTGGCTCACAACCCTCTGTAAGTTTAGTCACAGGAAGTCCACTGACCTTTTCTGGCCTCCATGCGCCTTGTGCACACAGTGCACAGACACATGCAGACAAAACACCCACACACGTAAACAAGAAAATGAAAACAAAAAAAAATTAAATTAAAAAAAGCACAAAGAATCTAAGTCATGGAATTCCAGCTTCATTCTAACAGCTACATATCAACTTCATCCTCACGCTCAAAGCTACACAATGAAATCCACTTCTATAAATTCACTTTTAGAAGCAGAATGGCTCATGAACAGAACTATTTTACCAAATTCTAGAAAGGTTAAGTGGGTATCTTCCCATGACACAAAATCAAGTAAATCAAATGTGGACCTCATCTTTCCAGCATGGTAAACAGATGTAGGCTACTTAAAATGACAAATAAACTTTAATTTCAGTTTTCACATCTGAAAACTGAAGAAGACATTTCCCATTAAAATATACTCAAAAGCCACATGTGGCTAAAGGCTACAGAACTGGACTGTGTGAAGCAATAATGGACAATAACAATCAAGATGAAAATATAAGATCGGAACAAAAATGGCCACCATGCATTGAGGAATTGCCAGCACCAAAAAAAAAAAAAAAAAAAAAAAAAAAAATAGATACAGATAAAATGCTTTCAGCGAGGTACTATCCCAAAAAATAAGGGAGGGAAGCAACTTGGAAAGGCATCTCTTTATTAGCTCATGAAAACACACACACACACACACACACACACACACACACACACACACACACACATTTCTTTAATTTTTTTTTTTTTAAGAAAAAAAATCTGAAGGTGGAGTAGTTTCCTGGACTTGTAGTCCAAACACTCACCAATGCCTTCTCTGTTCTGTCAAATCCCAGCAAAATATCTCAACTCAACGGCAAGCAAAGACTCCTCCTCCCACTTTGTCTTGGGGGAGGGGGGCAATATTCCAGCCTCATTCGGATAGGTGGATATAGTATTTTATCATATCAGAGCACCTTCCTCTCCAAATGAATGAATAAAGAAACCAATCTCAGCCGGGCGGTAGTGGCGCACGCCTTTAATCCCAGCACTTGGGAGGCAGAGCCAGGCGAATCTCTGTGAGTTCGAGGCCAGCCTGGGCTACCAAGTGAGTTCCAGGAGAGGCGCAAAGCTACACGGAGAAACCCTGTCTCGAAAAACCAAAAAAAAAAAAAAAAGAAACCAATCTCCCCACCAACACATTCATTTCCTCTAACAAAGTTGGCAAATTATAGGTCAATACTAAAATGAAGTCTCAAGAAGCTTAAGAAATGACCATCAGGCAACAGTTTTTTTTTATTCAATATGTGTAAAGAGCTAAAATCCAATTACTTTATTGACAGCAAAGAAATTCAAAGAACTGAGTGAAGCTGTGAAGTCCTCAGATTGGGGGGCTGGGGGAGGGATGGAGAGGAAAGCTGTGTCCCTATCAAAGGACCAAGGAAGGAGAAGCTCAGGAGCAGAGAAGACATTTTCCAGGGTCATCAGCTGCCCACAGTGTGACAGGAAACAGAAGCTGAACCCAGAAGCCACTGGTCAGGCCAGCATGTCCTGCTCTTCTCGCAAGATTTACAAAACCTATAGCTTATCATTCTCGTTGGGTTTTCTAGTGAGCTGTCATCTACGGGAGTCTGTTCCTCGGGAGATCATCATTCAGAGCACCACTCTGTTGATTCTACACCTTAGAAGCTTCATGCAAAACTGTTCAACCCCTCGGCACAAAGAAATGCTATCCTGTGAGTGCTGCCTATTCCCACCACAAAATTTATGGACACCCATTCTAAGCAAGAAGCTACAAGTTAACATATTAATTAATTAAAGAGTACTTATGAAACCAAAAAGACTATTGTTTTTTAAAAAAAAAACAGAATGAAAAAACACTGTAAGAGCATAAAGCATACCAATCCTTTGCTTTTCATTTGTGTGTGTGTGTGTGTGTGTGTGTGTGTGTGTGTGTGTGTGTGTGTGTGTGTACATGTTCTTGTGTGAGGCTCCACGTGTGTCACGGATGAATGCGGAGATCAGACGCTAACCTTTGGGTGCTGATCCTCACCTCTCCTTGTTTGAAACAGTCTCTTCATGGGTGTGTGAACCAGACTACCTGGCCCAAGTCTGCAGAGCACCCTGTCTCTGCCTACCATCTCCCCATAGGGGCATGCTGGAATTACAGACACACTGGGCACTTCTGTGAGTGCTGGTCATGTGAACTCAGGTTATCAGACAAGCCTTTACCCACTGGTCATCTCCCCAGCCTATCTTTAACTTTTAAGAGTACTATTGAGACTGCCTGCTCATTTGCTCACTCCATTATTTACCGAAAGCCCACTGCCCGCCAGTCCCTACCCACGAGTAATTCACTACCTACTGAGAAAAACCAGTATTACAGCAAATACATATAACACTAAACTAGCATTGTCCTTCCAACACACAGATTACACAGATGTC